TATATTTTTGTGAATTATATTAGGTTTTTATTATTAATAAAATTATAATATTTAATAAATTTAATAAATATAATATACTGATTTTATATACTTATTTGACTGAATTGATACCAAATTGAAACCAATTTTAGGCTGATTTATAGTTATTTAAATTCTGAATTAATGCCAAATGATGCTGAATTGAGGCCAATTTTAGGCTGATTTATGGTTATTTAAATTTTGAATTAATGCTGAATGATGCTGTATTGAGATCAATTTTAAGTTAATTTATATTATTTAAATTTTGAATTAATGCCAAATGATGCTGAATTAAAGTCAATTTTAGGCTAATTTATGGTTAAATTTAATCTGAATGGCTATGTTTTATTGGAGTCAATCAGCATCTATTGGCATCTGAATTATTGCTGAATTGAGGCCAATTTAGGCTGATTTATAGTTGAATTTAAGTTTTAAATTGATGTCAAATGACCATATCTATTGGAGTTGATCAGTGTCTATTAGTACTTATTTATGTTAATCAGAAAACATGGCAAATTAGCCATAAATAGTATCAAAATTAGCCTAAAATCAGCCATTCAATTTTTAGCCGATTTGGACTATTTCAACCAGTATAATTTAAATTTAAGCATTGATCTTTTTTATATAAATTTAAAGTTAGATTAGCAATTTTACAAATATATACATATACTTAAGAGTTGATCATTTTGCGTAATGTATTTTATTGATCAATATCAATATCATTTTATTAAGCAAAATTTATATACAAAATTTATAGCTACAAAAACTAAATTATAGCTATTGAACTAATTTAATGGAGGAAAAATATCAAAAATATATTATTTCTCTTTAAGAACAACATTTTGTCTACTAATCCTGAAGACAATCAAGTTTATTTAGCTAAAATATGATTGCCAGTATATGAAAAAAGCCTTTCACTAGGTACAGATGCTACAGGGATAGATAAATACTTTCTTGTAATTTATGTAATAAAGCACCACTTTATTATCATCTCTCACATTTATTTTCTTATCTCTTAATGCTTTAAAAATATCATCATTATCATTTAAAGAGCTAATAATACTATTAATACTATGTTTAGGTAAAAGATCCTTTTTTGTATTATCATATAATTCTTGAACTAATTCTTTAGCTTCATTCTTATTATTACTATTATACCAATCAAAGTTTTTAAAGTGAAGGTCTAGAAAAGTTGCAACAAGCATAATGTTAGATGGCATTAGCCAAAGTTCATTTAAAGATAAGTAATAGCTGCATGAACTTTTTGTAATAAACTTTCAGTATTTATTGGATGCAGATATTTTACAATATTTATATCATCCAAATTTAATTTAATTGGATAAAATGTGGATATTTCATTCATTTTATAATTCTAACCCTGACTCTGACCTCAATTTCTTATATTTTCACGTTTTTGATAATGAAACTGATGATATAAATACTACCAATATTGTCTTATCCCACCTGATGGAATATATTCATTATTACTAGTTATATCAGAATTCTCTTCTTTACTATTAGAGCTATAAATTAACTTAAAATAGATTTCTAATGTTTCATTTTTTTCTTCATTAGATGCAAAATTATTTTTAAGTATATGCATATATGAAACAAAAAGACTTAATATTAGATATTTTGTATTACTAAATTTGCATGTTATAGTTTTAAAAGATTTTAAAGAAGCAATCATTTGTTGGAAAAATCTATTAGTAAAAATAGAAAAATTAATAAAAAATTTAAATTGTATAGAAAAGTAAAAGTAAAAAAAATTTACATTTTTTTATCTGAACTTAATATAATTGTTCTAATTTTTCACCTTTTTTTTGTGATGTTCGTCAGATCTTGAGAGTAAATCTATAGATACATTTTTCATATAGTTATGCAACTCAAGAACTTGCTTTCATGCTAAATAAATCAAGCTTCATCTAGTTTTGATGTTTGTTAAAACTTCTAGTGGATTTATATATTTATTTTCACATGAATTTATTTGAGAATTCTGTTGTGTTGCATAAGTTTTTCAGCTTGTTTAGGTAAACGAAAAAAAGTTTGTAGACTTTTTATATGATGATAAAATGCTTTACATTGTTTTAATCCTTTTATCACTGAAAGTTATAAAGTATGTGTAACACAAGATTGGTGTTGAATTTATTCAAGATAGTTTTCTTTTAATAAATGAACTGCTTTTACCATATTCATGCTATTGTTAGTTGCTATTTTAAAAGTTATTAAGGTTAAGTTCTAGTTTTCTAATACTTGAAACAATTTATCACAAATAATCTCACCAATATGAGGATAGAAAAGGTAAATTACATGATAATAAAGCTTCTTGAAATTCAAAATCTGAAGTTAACCATATTGCAATTATACTAAGATAACCATGCCAGGATTTAGATGTCCAAAGGTCAGTTGTTAAATGCATTGTTACTGCTGTACTTTTTAACAAAGACTGGAGTTGCTCTTTACTTCATATGTATGCTGAATAAAGCATGTTTTTAATAGACTTATTACAAGGAATTTTATAACCTGATTCACATATCAGTAAAAGGTCTTGAAATGCTTGATTTTGTAAAACATATAAGGGTTGGATATTTTTAACAATAAAAGTTGTAACTTTTCTGGTAATTAATACTTGTTGTTTAGGAGAATATGATGGAGAATCAAGATTTGCAGGATCAACACATGGCTATTAGATAATTAATATAATCCATTAGATTTTTGTATAAAAGTCACATGATTTAATTACTGTATAAATTAAAATACCTCTTCACGTTTATCCAGATATTCTGAATAATTATCCTTAGTAATATTATGTTTATCCCTTAAATGATTTATAAGATTGGATGTATTTCCACCTTTCTGACTATAGCCATAAGCTTTTTTATTTGTATTTATATAATTTAATTCACAAATTTTACAATAGACCAAATCTCCTTTTACATGAAAAAAAAATGATGTATGGCTGCGGTTTTTCCAAGTTGAAAAGGTTGGTATTGATCTTGTATGATTATATCATCCTCAAATATCGTGGAATTGGTGTCATCAATTGTTTCAGAATTATAGATGAGGGACGAAACCCCTTAATAACAGTCGAAACTTAGACGAAACTATATTAAAAATCATAATAAGAGATACGACAAAACCCATTTGATACGATGAAAGCTGAAACTGTCGAAACTATATTAAAAACATAGAAAAAGATATGACGAAATTATTTTGAGGAGGTTTCGGCAGGCATCTATATTCAGAATCAGTCATTTTAATAGCAAAAAAAAAGTACTTAAGTTTTTGGGATAAAAATTGAGATGATTAAAATACCGTATGAATTTTATGAATTATTTTCATATATTCATGTGGGAACTATTTTGATGATGTAATTTGTTGTAAAATAATTAGCCAAACCTGTTCAGATCATGGTAGAATTTTGAGTTATAATTTTGAAGCAGCGTAATATTGCAACATTATAACAAATATTATAAAATCCAATGATGTATTAATAGTTTATTTTCTGCTATAGAATATAATGGTTTTTATTAATACAATAATGAATCTAATATAATTTAAATAATGATTTTTCATTAACAGTTAATGTAATTTAATTTGATTTTTTTTATTAAATAAAAAAAGTGGATTGGCTGGATAATTTGAAGGTTATTAGATATATTTCTTAATAAAATGATTTATTATCTTTTTATTGATAAAGCTTTTAAATTTTAAAAACCAATTTTTTAAGAAAAGATTTTTCTAATATAAAGAACTAATTTTTCAGTTCTTTTTTTTTTAATAAGAATATCAAAATAATCACGATTTCATTTTATGACTAAATTTCATATTTATTTATTATAAATATAAATCAGATGCACAAATTGGTTTCAACCAGTTAACTGGTTTGAAATAGACTAAACTGATTGCACTTATTTTAAATTCAGTTTTCAAAAATACAACTGATTCCAAATTCTAAGATAAGCTTAATAGCATAGTTACAATATATATATCCTTTTATAAACTTTTTAATAATTACTTTTTCACATTATTATTTAAAATTATCAAACAAGAAATATGAATAATTAATAATTAATAAAGTATCACTTTTAAACTGATTATAAGCTATTAAGTGAATATATATTTGTATTAATATTTGCTTTTTAGTGGAATAAATATAGGAAAATAAATATTTAACTATGCGTAGATACTAAGGTTATAAGGAGCTTTAACAGATTAAACTTAGAGTTATTTTAGACATAGACAGAGATTCAACATAATTCTAATTTCAATTATACTAAAATTGATTTTCGTCTGAAGTTAGAATTTTATCTTTGGGTGTCTGAAATTAGAATAACAATTTTGATGAAAATCAAATTTTTGGTCAGGTTTTACCACCCATCGAAACTTTCTCAGTTTTGCCTTTAAAATAAATTTGGTAAATAATATTTGCTTGTGTAACTTGTTTAATGCAGTACTAATTTGATCTTTATTGTTGCTATTTCCATAATTGATTTTTGTTTCAAGATGCAATTATTTGAAATAGGAGATATTGTAAAAATTCTAACTCGATTCTTAGATTTGATTAATGAACGGTGATTTCATATCTTCTTGCATTGACAACTCGTGATTAGGACCAATCTACTTATATAATATAACATGCTTAGTATGGTTATAGAGATTCCTGATTAGTTAAAATCTAACGATACAGTTTATCTTAATTAGGAATTGTCAAATTCCATCATTCAGTACTATGAATTGAAATATACCTTCATAAGTACGTTTAAACCCTGAGATTAATTTCTAAGAAGAATTTG